CGAATCCATAGAAATGAGGATACTATGGGCATGCAGTCTGCATGATCCTGGTCACAAAAATAACACCACTTTTTTTTTTATTCTTTTCTTTTTTTTTTTTTTTCCAATTTTTGTAGTTTTCTCTGAAAGCCACTAAAAGCAGAGGGAGAGCAGAGCATGCACCACTGTACACATTGCATAGTATATGGTACCCACATGCCTGGTCAGGTGCTACACACACGGGGTCTAGAGGGCAAAACAAAGGGAAAATCAGCAGAAAACACAAATTTGGCGTGGCTCTGTCCCAGTAAAGGCAGTAATGTCTTCACCAGTGTGGCTCTGAACCGGCTCCCAGCGAGGCAGCGCTGCCGGGCTCTCGCTGGGAGCCAGTTTGGCTGAGAAACAGAGATTGGCCAGGATGTGAGCAGCCCAAGGTCTGGAGTGTGCAGCTGCAATTGCAGATCCCAGCGTTCTCCCCGCTCTGCCTGCACACAATCGGCATTTGCTGCCTGACTCTCCTGTCTGCCCCACGAGGGAACACTCAGGGGTGTCCCAATCCCAAACACACCTGGGCCCACACACAGTTCCTCACTCACCTCCCTTCAGCTTTCCCTTCAGGTTTGCAGGGAATTCTTGGAATTTGGGGTGCTGTGACTCTTCCCTCCCCCTCCAAGCTCTGCATCCCCACAAACATTTCCTGGGAGCGTTTCATTCCCGACCTTGGGCTGCTGCTGGGTTCACCAGTCCCATCCCAGATCTACACATTGGCCAAAATTAAAGTTACTCATGTGATTTCAGCTTCCAGGAGGAAATCAGCAGAAATGAATGCAGTGGGCTTTGTGATTTCAAAAGGTTCTTTTTGTTGTCATTAATTAATTCATATGGAAGGGATACAAGTTATTGAAAAATCAATCCCATGTGCAAAATGCCAAAATCAACTGCTGAAGTGTCAGGCAGCGAGTAAACAGATCAAAAATGCAATAAATCCACTGATGCTGGATCAGAAATCTCCCCCCTGGTTCCAAACCCACCATGCCAGATGCAGGAGTGGAATTATTGTAAATTTGTGCTATTACAAATGTGCTTCTTTTCCCTGGCTCTGTTTTCACACTGCTGGCAGAAGGAGAACTCTGAGCTCTGTGGGTTCCCTGCTGCAGAGCAGATCCACCACGGGCATGTCCCAGTTCATTAATTAATTAATTAATTCATGAATTCCAGCTCGGTTTTCAGGCAATCCCGGTGAGGCAGGGGAGGATCAGGAGGTGCAGACCTTGCTCTGGGACCAGACAGGAGTTGGTGCCACTGCCAAGGGGTTTGGGTTCCCCAGTTCCTGAGGCAGCTCCATAAACCCTCCTGGGGCCAAGGCAAGGCTGCTCCTTCCCAGGAGTGAAGGGGAGACACTGGGTAAGGTCTGAAATGATCCCCCCTCCTCCCCGAGCTCTCTGATGGATCCAATCACAACATTTCTCCTGACTTCTTGAGTGCATTCCACACACACTGAAAGAAATCTGAACTTCCACTCCTAAGTAGCATTTTCACCTCTGAGTTAATTCCTTACATGTATTTTACAACTTTGTTAAAACTTCTGAGTTTCTTAAAGATTAACCTTTATTTTTCTATATAAAATAAACTGGGCTTGGTAACAACCTCACCAAGGTTATTGAAATGCCTCTTAAATGACACCACACTCTCTTTTAGGATCATTTAAACTCCATTTCCTCAGAGTTAAGCTTGGCTGCATTACAGGATCCTGCAGCCTTTGTAGGACTAACATTTGAAGGAATGAGAGGCAACTCCAACAAAATCCCATGGATCCAAACCTGGACTGACACCAACAGGGGTAACAGAACCTGATGTTCAAATGCACATTTTTAGGAGCAAACCCAGGTTTGTATAAATGGCATTTTATAAAATATGCATCTGATTTTTTCGTGTATAGTCTCCAATTATTTTGCCGTAAAAAAAAAAAAAAATCGGGAATGTGGGATCAAGGACAAGTTTCAGAAGTTCTGAAGCTGTGAAAGAAAATACAGCAGAGGACACACTTAATGGATTATTAAAGAAAAAAGGAGTGTCAGAACCCCTGACTTACCCAACTCAGTGTGCTGTGAACAACAGGAATAACAATATTGTTTTAGAATGGTCAGGGCAGTAAAGACAGGAGAGTCTGGAAGCTCCAGGGAATTCTGTGGTGTTGAGACCAAACTGAATTCAGAAGATTTGGCATCAAACTGAAGTTACAAATATCAGCAGCTGTGAGTTGCACATCCCATGGGAGAAGTGTTTGGCTTCAGGAAAAGAATCTGTACATGTTAAATACAACTCCAGGGAGAAAGTATTTGAAGGTTAACAATTAGAATAATTGATGCCCAACCAAAGGAATGTGCTGAATTTTCTCTGTAGAGATTGTTGTTATCACCTTGATTGGTTAAATCCTTGTTAATCCCAAAGTGTCTGAATGAGAAACTCGGATAAGAACACAACTTAAAAAAACTCCATTTTATAAACATTTGTAAACCCTCTGTCCCTGCCAGAGCTCCCAACAGAACTCTGGTCTTCAGTACTATTTTAACAACAAGAAATGATGTGAGGGCTGGAGAATGAGGCTGGATTGCTTCACTCAGGAACACATGAACTCCTCAACTTCAGCTGAACCACAGGAGAGCTGCTGAGCAGTGCTGGAACCCCAGCAGGAACCACCAATCCTGATCCCCAGCACAGCTTCCACTCCTGACTGTGTCCTGAACAGAAATCCCCTCTCCAAACAAACCCTGCCCACAGGATCTGCAATAAATGCAGAGTCTGCCAGCCTGGCTGCTCTCTCTGTACTGCAGGAATATCTCTCTTCACAGAATTCAGCACCCCAGCAAGGAGGGAGACCTGCAGGGCCCCTTTGGTGACAATGGAATGGGCTCAGGGAGAAACTCAGGGCAGCTTAACCCCAGGGCATGAAGGAGCTCAGGCCCATCCCTGGCTTCCTCACAAGTTTGTTTTTGTCAAACCCAAGCAGTTTTGGCACTTCAGATGTTGAGGTGAAGGACTGTGCAGAGTGTGGTGGCTGGGGATCCCTCCCTGCCCTCGGTGACGTGGAAGACTGAAAACAAGGCTCCAAAAGGCTCTAGCAAGTATCTGACTGCAAATATGCAAATATGCAAATCTCCTCAAGCAGTTAACGAGCTGATCCCTAATCTAGTGCAGAATAAAGAGAAGCAGCTGCTGCCCAGGGTTCTACAGCTGCCCTGCAAGCAGGACTGCAATGCACAAACAAGGAAAGCTCAGAGGAGCAGGGGCTGCCAAGGCCTCCTCTGTCCTTTCTGTGTGCTGGCCATGGAGAAGGGGCTGGAGAAGGGGCTGGAGAAGGGGCTGGAGAAGGGGCTGCAGGATGCTGCCCCGTGCTGCAGCACAGAATCCTGCAGGAGCTGCCACAGCCACGTCCTGCCACGTCCCCCCAGAGCTCCTCTGGCACCTGCAGCCACCGGGAATGGGCAGGATCAGCTCAGGCAGATCCATCCACAACTCTGTGGATGCACAGATTCCCACATTTCCCTTGGTAACTGCTCCATCGGGATCACCCAGTGGTGCTGCAGCTGCCTGTTGGGCAGTGGGGGTCATTAAAATGATTAATTAATCAGGTGTCTGCCACCTCTTAATGCTGCTGGGGATGGTGTGGGTTTGGGTGCCCCACAAAGGACATGGATTGCTTTTCCCAGCAACTTCAAGAGGATAATCTGACTCCAGGATGCTGGAAACACCAGTGGTCTTTGCCAGCTGGTCCAGGACGTAGAAGAAACCAGAATATTCCAGAAATTCCTGTAGTGCTACATGCTTTCAAAGCCTGGGTTCAGCAGGCTTTGGGAGGAAAACAAGCAAATAAAAAAGTTAACGATCCTTATTTTGGGGAAAACATAGCTGTGATGTGAACCTGCACAAACAAATGCACGTTCAGCACCACAACTGTGCCAATTCCAGGGAACGGGTGCGGTGGGAATCTCGGGAGGCTCTGCTGGAAGATGTCAGTGGTTGTACAAAATGGGCAATGGGGCTCAATTTTCAATTTTCAATACCATGGGATCTAAGGCTTCACAGATGGTGTAAAACACAAGGTCCAAGCACAGAAATTCATCTCTTGGAAGGAACTCAAGACTCAGCAGGTGACAGAAATGACTGGTAGGAAGTAAGGCAGCAATATCTCCAAGGATTTATCATAGCTCTTGGAATGCAAAGCTTGGAATCAGCTCCACGACTTCCCTGGGAGCAGATTTTTGTCTGATGTTCCCTTTTTATTGCAATTCTGACCGAGATGTTGTTTGAAATGTTTGTCAGTGATGGCTGGGGAAGCCCACTCCCTCCCCTTGGGTTTCATGGCTGGAATGGATTTTCTGGAGGGTTCTTGTGCGCTGCTGGAATGGTCAGACCTGGTCAGACATCCCCAGGTGGGCTTGGGAAGATGGAACATGTGGGCAGCTACTCAGGGTACTGGGATGTAGGGACTTCAACACAGGGTCAGAGGAGGGGATTGCTTTCCATTTAAAAAAGCAGGATAAAAATGGGAGAAAAATCTGATGTCTCTATGCTCCTGTTCCATTTTGGGACTTGTAGCTGTATTCAGGTAAAAGAGTGGGAAAAAATAAAGACTATTCCCGACCCCCAAGCACACAAAGGATGGAGTTTGTTCCTTTTCCTGTCCCTACTTCCCGTCTCCTGTCGCAGCTCCTCCCTGCTGGTCCCAACAAAGCTGTCAGGACTGGCTGAACTCAAGAATCATTTGGCTGCAACATTCATGCCAGGTCTAAAAATAATTTGGAACTGGAAAGTGTTTTGTAACTGCTGCAATAATTTGGGATATTTGGCACTCTCGAGAGTTTACATTTGGTTTGTCTGAAAAAGCCATTCTGGAAAGAAATCGTTAGAATAAATCCTTTTACTCCAACCTGAAATGGAAATTGAGCTCCCAGCAAAACAAATACTGGAGCTTTCTGACTTGCAGTGGTTTGTAATTTTCAGATTTTTCTTCGTGTTTGTTTTTTTTTCCCAACATGCTCACGTCGACTTTCCAGTCAATTCACCCAAATTCCAACAGGAATTGGTTTATAAATTGGTTCCAACTGGAACTGGTCATTTGGAATTTCCAGCACAGGAAATTATTTTATAAGTGCCTCGATAAGTACCCAAAATTACAAACGGATGTGTCTAATACCTAAGGACGAGAAAAAAAATATGGCTATAAATGCGAACACTGTATGAAACCCAAAAATAATCCCAAAAACAACCTCTATGATCGGGCAGAAACGGAAGGGCCGGGCTGGGTTTTGCTGCCCCCTAATTAAACATCAGTGACAGCAGGGTGCGACCGCGGTGTCACGGTCACACCTGCCAAATGAACCGTGGTATAATTGATACTCCTATAGCTACTTATGGCGAGGTACCANGTATCCTGCAGTGCCCAAGGCTGGCTGGAGCAGCATCAGGGGCAGATTAGCAAGGAATTAATAATGAAAGCAGTTCCTGAGCTCAAATATGCCCAGCTATTTTTACAGCTATTTTTACAGTGTCTAGACATGCAGCCCCAGCTCATTCCTTATGGCTGGCTCTCAGCAGAGGAACAGAGTGAGGAGTGCATCCTGTGCAAGGACCTTCCCTTTAAACCAGCACTCCAAATTCTCCTCTTGCAGGAATCTGAGCTGCACAAGGGATGAGCAGGAGAGAGGGAGCAGTGCCTTTGCTTTCAGCAATAAACTTTTACTTCATTAAACCCTGGGCCAAGTTTAATTTCAAGCCAGGCCAGACTGTCAGCTCCCTGGGAGAGCTCCAAGTCAGCACTGCCCTCATTTCCTGCCCATCACCAGTGCAAATGCTGAGCTCTCTGTGAGCAGCCCCTGGGCAGGGCAGGGTGAGACAGCCCAGAGCAGGGCTGGGCTCAAGGCTGGAGCCTGGCACTGACATTTGGAGAGGCTTTTCTGCTCCAGGTGAGGCCTCCAGCACTGCGGTGCAATTCCAGGCCTGCTGTTGAGGCAGAGTTCAGTAACCTGGGGATGGACAATCCCAGTGCCCCAGTGCACCCCACATGGATTATGTAATGGAATTTAGGAATCCCACGGGTTGGAAGGGACCTAAAACCATCTCATCCACCCCCTGCCATGGGCAGGGACACCTTCCACTGTCCCACGGTGCCTCAAGCCCTGTCCAGGGACACTTCCAGGGGATGGAGCAGCCACAGCTGCTCTGGTGCCTTCTCTCATTTCAGCTGATGTGAGCAAAGTGAAGCTGAGTGAGAGGAAATCACTGAAGAAAGGGCAAAAAACGGCTGTGAAACTCCCAGGGTTCTGTGTGCAGGTGCCAGAGGAAACACCTTTCACACAGGACAGTGTGCAGAGGGCTCTTCTGTGTGAGAGCTCAGGGCAGACACCACAGACAGGGGTGCACTCCAGTGCCTCAGCTCAGCTTGGGAAGGGATGGGTTTTACAGGGATCAGGATTGGGAAGAGATGGGTTTTACAGGGATCAGGAATTGGGATGTGTTTTACAGGGATCAGGAGTTGGGGTGTGTTTTACAGGGATCAGGAATTGGGAAGGGACATGTTTTACAGGATCAGGAATTGGGGAGGGATGTGTGTTACAGGATCAGGAATTGGGAAGGGATGTGTGTTACAGGGATCAGGATTGGGAAGGGATGTGTGTTACAGGATCAGGAATTGGGNAACCCTTCCGTTTATTTATCAATTTCCAGTGCTGCTGCCCCCAAAGCCATTCCCCAGCAAGGAGGCAGCAGCAGCATTGCTGCCTCAGGGAACTCTGCAGACACCTCCTCCCTGTGCTGGCTGAAACCACCTCCAGCCCTGCCTGTCCTCCAGAACCAGCAGAGCCCCTCGAGAGAAACACAACCCTATTTTCAGCACTTTGACTTCCTATCTCATCTCTAATCTTAACTTTGCAAAATACTGTGAGAACAGCACAGGAAATGGAAAATAAGTGCAGGTGCTGTGGGTGTAAAGGGCAACCAGCACCAACCACAGGCTGCTCTCTTCCACCTGTTTTTGCAGCTCTCAGAATAAGATTTGAAATGATAAAGCAGTTTTTCTTCTTTTTTTTTCATTTATTCTCTCTTCCCAGCATGACAGAGAAAAGTTTCCTCTGCCAGCAAGGAGGAGTTTCCTTGTAATTAGAATATTCCTAATACTGCATCCCCTGGTGCAGTTCACTGTTTATTGCTCTTCTTTTGCTCCTCTCTTTATTTACTGCTTTTACTCTTTTGCTATTCACCCACATGTTGGTGCA